GGGGGCGGCGGGGTGTAGATGGGCGCGGGCGGCGGTGAGCTGGTGTGGTAGGCGTTGTTGAGGGGGTACTTGGCGGGCTGATGGTTCTTGACTCTGGTGAAGTTGATGCAGCGGCCCTGGAAGAGAAGCGGAGAAAGGGAGCGTGAGCTGAAGCTTGCTATGACCTCCTAGCAGGGCGTGGGAAGCCTGAAAGAAACATGCAGACAATAGATACGACGTCTGTGACAACACACTCCTGGCGCACAGGAGAACCTGACAACAAATAAGCTCCCTGCTTCCTTTTTCTAAGCTTACTGTATTGCAAAATGATTGGTTAAAATGCATTTTTCCTGTAGTCTCTCTCTCAGGAAGGAGGAAAAGCAGGGGCCTGATCTTAACCGGAGGCCCAGGGTCAAGCCGAGTACAGAGGCCATCGATTTTAATCTCAACAGTCTTGCCAGCCAGGCGTTATTGTCAATTGTTACATTTCATGCATGAGGAAACTAAGGCTCAGAACAGTTAAGTCACTTTCCCAAGGCCACACAGCTAGTAAGTCAGTCCCATTTCCTCCACACATCTTTCCCTGATGCCTCCAGCCTCCACTGAGGCTTTGCTTCCCTCCCTAAATTCTTCTCCAGTTACAATCTGGGCCACACACTGAAGCCTGCATACTAAAATCGTTTGATCTGTAAATGCACTGCCTCCCTGACCAGATGAGAAACTTCCGGAAGGGAGCAGCCTTGTTGTATACTTTGCTGCTACCCCACTGGTTTAGGAACTGCAATGCCGTATTTCGATGCCAGCCATCTTCTCTGAGCTTGCATTTCATGAGGTTAAACCAGGGCCTAACTTTGTTAGGCTCTGATCGGGGGTCTACTACCTGCAGAAATAAGTCATCATCTTCTCACTGCATTGCCCAGAACTCTCAGCTCAAGGTCGAGCTTTCCATGACTTAAATGATGTTGTAACCCAGTACTGTACATTCCCAGTTGTCCAAGCAGCCGTCTTTTACAGATTTATAAATCTAAGCCTTGGTTACAGTTTATTTATGATTCTGGATAAAGCTCTTTCCTTCAACATGCTAAAGTCCTAATGGTTACCATCTGTGATAAATGCCTGCAATGGGCAACTCAGAGTTGGGATTTATTGTACTATGTATTCTGCCCTTCATTCCTAGACATGCTCAGTCAGATCCAGAGACCGGAGATCCATTTCCTTTAAAGGTGAAGGGAAATTCCAGTCCTGGGGAAGGAGCTGCTGGTGCCTGGGGCCGAGTCCCTGTGTGGCTTCAGATTTCCTTTAGGGCTGGCCATCCACTGCTCTCTCCCTCCCTCTAGGGATCAGTGATGGTGGGCTGGGGCAAGAGCGGAGGCCTATTAATCCAGAAGCTGGGGAGTGGGGGTAAAGTGGGGGAAAAGACCTCCCTAGTCAGCCCCTCCAGCTGCCATCATTGCCAGGGGGCTAGGGTGGGCTGAGGTGGGGAGAGGCAAGGAGCCCCCTTCCTGTGGTCAGTAACACCCCAGGACTGTACTCACTGTCTCAGGCTCCAGAGCTCTGGGCTGTGGTTCATTGTAGACCCCAGTGCCTTAGAGCTGACACCACAGCCCAGAGCAGCCGAGTGGAGGGGTAAGCTCACTGCCTCTGCCACGCCCTGCTGCATGACACCCCACTGTGTGACTCGATGGAGATAATAATGCCACCTGCCACTGACAGTCATTATGAGGCTTAACCTGATCAATGCTGGTGAAGGCCTTGGAATAGTGCCCAAAACATGGTGTTTGGAAAATGAAGTTGAGTCTAGATGGGGAAACATGCTCAGACACAATAATGACCTTATCTACTGCAGAAAGGCCAGCTGGAGGTCGTATCAGGTTTTCTAACTCCTAGTTTCGTGCCTTCTAAGTGAGCTGCCGGCTAGAGCCTCTACACGCCACACCTGGCTTCTTTAATAAAACTGGCATACAGGAGAAAAAATGCAGCCCCAGAGGCCCGCCCTCTCACGATTCCTCTCACGGCCACGTAACTCCTGTAACTTATTCGTATCAGACCTCCCATAGTGCTTTGCACCCCAGTTCACTGCTGATGCATTTGCACATACTTATCATCCTGTAAAAAGGTGCAGATTACGCAGAAACAAATCCCCAGGGTCAGTTACAGTAAGACGCAATTAGGGCTTCAGGGAGGGGTGTGGCTAAAATTAAGTTCTTAAAACCTGGAGCCTGAGGAGCCAACACAAACACTGTATCACTTAGACCATATAATTGGCCTGAAGATCAGTTTACACGACATCATTTCTTGCTTGCGAGAGGATAATAGAAAGGCCAGATGTTCTCAGTGTCATGTATGCCAGCAAATCTGCACCAGTGTTTGCTTTAAACGTTGCTAGGACGATTGGAGCGCTCATTTCCTACACTGGTCTGTAACCCAGTTTAATTCTCCGCAGTATTGTTTTTGAGTGGTTTGACTCAGCTCTAAGATTTAGCTTTGATCTCAGTTTACCTAGGGGGTTGCTCGTTTATGAAGAATGAATGCCAATTATTTTCACACATTAGCAACAAAATGCTCTGGATAAATTCTAAGAAGAATATGCAAACAATATCTCCTGCTAAGGGGTAGCTCAGCAGGATGTTCGGTGGTGTTCCTCCTAGGCTAGAAAATCCCATTTTTATCCGACTGAATCTGATGGTGTTGGGAGGATTATTAGAAATGTCCAGGCACATCAGCTTCTCTATTATCAAAACTCTATGTACTAAGTATTATTATCTTCACTGTACAGAAAAAAAGACCGAGGGCTGAGCTTTATTTAAACAATGTGACTAAGATTATACAGCCGGGGAATGATAGAAGTTGGATTAAAACCAGTTCTGCTTGCTGTAGGCACTAATCCTCTTTTCATTGTATTATCCTGAAGAGGCTAAAAGTACAAATAATTTCTTGAGGCACTTGTAGATGTTATCGCACAGTGTAGCACTTGGCCACCATCCGTCAGATCTTGACCTAGCTGTCTAGAGATCTTTCCAGAATATGAGTCAATTCACTGACCAGCTCAAAATTCTTCAAGGCTCCCCATCATCTTTAGAATAAAATCCAAACCCTCCGATGGCGTATCAGCCCTTTTGTGATCTGGTCCTGACTTACTTACATCTTTTAATTAATTCCTTGCTCTTACATTGTGGGATGTCCAGGCTGGCCCATCCTAAGCCCTCTACAAATATTTGTTCAATGAAAGGATATACTATGCCACTTGGTACTCTTAGTATAGACATCGCTTCCTCGCTGAAGGGTGAGCATCTCTGAGGCAGCATCTGGGTCTTCTCTTCCTGAGATCTTTAAAGCAGCACTAGGTTCAAGTTCAAGTTGGCACTCAACACATACTGCTCATATCCCCCAGGGTTTCCGAGGTGGACTGAACCTTTGTTGAAAGCTCAGGTTTTCTCTGCAAGTTTAGGTTCTAAGACGATCAAAGTTCCATGAACTCAAGGCTGTGAGTTCAGGTCTCCTTGGTTACCTTCTCATGGTCTCTTTGGACATCTAAGGTCTTGGGGGAAGGGTGGCAAGCATCTTATGTGCTCTTCTTGATTTCCACACTAGACATGTTAACACGTTACCATCAAAAATAGTTTTTTGGTTACTTTTGATTGATTTACCAAAGAAAATTGTCCCTCAACAAAACCCTTTACCTAAATTGGAGGTGACACACTCTGAAACAATCATGGTGTAAACAGATTGTATTGACCAGGTTCTGGCTTTTTCCCAGTTTTGGAGGGCGGACACCGATGGTTCATGGAGAACAGAGACAGGAAACTGGAGGTGTGGGCTGCGGTCTGCCCTGTGGGGCAGGCCTGGGAGGCAGAGTTCTACCTCTAGTTCTGCCTCTAATGCACTGACACAGTAAGTCACTTTCTCTCTATGGGCCTCAACTCCCTCATCTGTAAAACCAAGTTGTGCTAGCTAGATGAAATCCAAGGGTCTTTCAGCCCTAATATTTTATGATTCAATAAAAATTCGAGTTGTTTTGGAACCCTTTCCTCGAATACTTTAATCTGAATTCTTTTGGGACAGTCAATTTGCATGTCTTTTTATACTACTTAGTTTGGCTAACTCTTTGTATTGCATGTTTTCCAGTTGCTTATCAGATTTACAAAATACTAATAAATTGAATTTCAAAATTGGACTCTCCATCTTCTGCTCTTTTGTTACCATGGTAAAAACTCAAGCTTGCCTGTGAGTTCTGAATTTGAGTTTGTGGGATGACAGGGGGGATGTGAAAAGAACTGTGGGCTGATCGTGTGCAAATGACTTGCCAGTGGTGAGCTCATGTGTGCTGAGTGTTATAAAACATCTGTTTAGGTATCAGGCACGATCAGTGGAGAGGGAGCTGGCCTTCAGAGATGGTTAAAAATATGCCACGCTCCCACAGATTAAACAAAATAGTTCTCTATGAACAGAGGTCACTTAAGGAAATTGGATTTCACAGGAAGAATACAAAAATAATCAGATGGAAAACATTTAACATGTACGCCAAGTTTCTTCTGACAAATACCTTTTTTCTCTGGCCTAGTTCTCTCGTTAATTGTCTTGTTTGGAGGGCTGTAGGTATTTCTCAAGTTACAAATGGACTGGGTTTCTGAAGTTTGTTTTAAGTCATTTGTTTAGAATTAGGAGCATAATTTCTAACTTAAGTCACTCTTATAAATGGGGGTTGGTTCTCAGGCTAGACCACAAAAGCTCATTGACATATTGAAGGCAATTGATGTAATCCTCCTGAAGTTGGTGCTCTAACGATAAATGAGACACATGAGCAATGAATGGATGGAGGGCTGGATTGGATGACTTCACAGCACTTTCTATCCCATGATTCTCTTCATTTGTTAAGTCCTTTGTGTATTCACCCTTTTGACAAGTGGTTTTTGAGTGCCCACTATGTCCTGGACACCCGAGGTGTTGCCGACAGTGTTGAGCAACCAAAAGCAGTCTCTGCCCTCATGAGGAATATTGGCCACAGGTGGAGAGAGACAGCCGTCGAGTGATCCCATAGACAATCATGTTTGTGCCCTGTAACACTGGCCTTGGCCACAGTTGATTGGACCGGGGGTGGACACCTACCTTGATTCTCTCTTCTGGGAGTTTGGAATTA